TTATTAATTAACCAACTGACTTACCAATTAAGCTGTCAATTTAAATTAACTTATTACAAGTTAAATCAACTTATTGATGATAAGAAAGACATAGAAGACGTTCCATTTATAGATCAGGAATGTTGACGTGTTTCGAAAATTTAAAAACTACTTGTAAAGTAGAATCCATATCAACACCAACTGACGTATGCACTTCGTTCTCAGTCACTTTACAATTGTTAGCCATCGACTCATCGTCCAAAGTAATCATTTTGCACCATGCACTGCGAAAACAGAACGGTTGAAGAAGCACCAACTGAAAATAAACATCCTATATTTAAAATACGTCAGTTAGAAAAGGGAATAGTACCTCGCGAAGAATAACGTCCTAGGAAACACATTGGGAAAATGAAAAACAGAAGGACAAGAAATGAAGCAGTGAATTTTTGTTGAACTGAATGACAGACAAATCAGTTATAAGTCATGACCAGAAACAAAAGTCAGTACCGCATCCAACAGTTGAAGATTGAGTTGAAATCATCAATATTCAATTCATTTCTAGAAAGCGACCCCCTTAAGTCCAGTATTTGCCTCGCAGAAAAGAAGTACTGCAAAAGCGATACCCCATTACGGAGATTGGATGAACGAAGAATATCCCAAACACCTGAAAACGAAGATCAAGGTCCATCCGAAATATTTATGTCTCTACGATCACTCAATACCATTCCTGTATTTCTGTATAAGATGACAGTGTGATATACAACTCAACTTTACTTTCCAGTTCACGTCCATGTCAAAAGTGAATAAAATCCAAAAGATACGGGAACTTCCTCAGTAGGGTTTTAAAATAATAGCTGTGCAGTGGGACAGATATGTAATGGATGTCCCAGCGTCAACTGAATTTAATACTCTTATCTGGAACAGAACCGGAATTCCATGAACATAGCAAAATACTGTCAGTACAGTCTAGTGTGGAAGTATACAAAACGTGGTTTAACAGTAACAGAACCGAAAGACGAAAATTGTTAATAAGGGTCCCGGTCAGCGTTCGCAATCCGTTCAGTTTCGGTGGGTTACAGCTGCCGCGTGCGAATTCAGGCAGTTGCCGCATGCGAGAGCGTTCACATATCGATCGATCCCAGAGCAACATGTACCCCTTCACCACAATATATATTGACGGTGGCGGTCCACGTCAACTCAACACCAAAACCCACTCGACAGCATTTAAAGAGAAGGAACCTAACCGTGATTAACTGGAAATCCTCGGCGTAGGGAAGGAAGAGGCAATCAATCCCTTCACGAAAAACTTATATATTCGAAATACTTATTGAAGATAAAAGGAGGAAACAGTCTTCGAAATTATCAGGTTTGCACCCAATGCACCAACCTCCTCAGCAGGAGGCATCTTTCAGCCTCAAATTCATGGACTTTAAAACAAATCGGATGGAGATATTTTCCAGATGAGGTAAGACCTGTACAGAGCAGATACCTTTCCAGATCTGAATTTGGAAATGTCTATAAATTTTGTTTGTACAATGATTTGGAAATTCTGTCACAATATTCTCGAAGAATAAAACAGAGTCGCTTGGGAAAACGAACACTGGAAAATTATTGTTTACAACTCTTCAGGGCTGTCAGCAGTCTTTTGCATCATAGGCTTCAGCGGAATCATTATCAACTTATCTATTGGCACACACTTTAATAAGGGCTAAATCACATCTAAACATCTGAAACATAATTTTAAGATCCGCAGTATTTCATCTGTAGGAAACTTTTGAATTAAAGCTGACATCAGGACTCAGTGAACATCAGCCTACTTCACTATTTCAACCAATATTCTCACATTCTAAGAAAAAAAGAGAAGGACCGGTATCTCCATTAAACTCCTCCAGCTCTTTTAGAAATCCCAATAATGGTTACAATTCAGATTGTTCAACTAATAAAGTTAATACTGTGTTTTCCATAACAGAATAAAATAGGCCAAAAATTTCCAACTAATATGCAGGTTTCAACTGCCTTTTTCACTCACTCCTACGCTAGTTAAGCGCTGGAAATGGGGGTAGTACGCAAAAATTCCAAAGGGATTTATTCGTGCTACATAGTGCACCCGACAAGCTCTGTTGGCGCTCACTGGTAATATTCAAATTTCAAACACTAACGTGACACCTTTGAAACCAGAGACAAGTAACGGAAAGTCCTATATTTCATTTAGTATCCTATCACATAAATACACATACACACAACCATATATGCACTTCAGAACTTTTAAATTTTGTCCGCAGCAAAGCCGTGACCCTTTAACCTTCAATGGATATCCCTCCCGATCTCGTTCAATTATACCAGTTCTAAGCTATTTTTTCATGAAATATTTCCTCACCTGTAGCTAGAAATGGGAACTTTTGAGCTTCCCTAAACTTACAGAGTCGAACAATAAAATCACGAATTGTAACTACACCCTAAAAGCTCAGTGAAAAACAAACTATTGAAATGTGTACTTACGTGACCTGTCGTCCACCTTACGCTACGTGACCTAACTTCGTAATATACCCAACTCTTACATTTATATACACCACTTCCCCAAGCATACGGCAACATACATAAAATAACAAACATCGGTACCGACCTATCTACCGACTGACCAAACAGACACAAACAACGCTTGAACAATTGATGTCGGTCGTGCCACACCACTTCTTTCGTCGCGTCGTCGCGCGGCAACAAGTTATCAGTATTGAAATAGTTATGAATGTCCTGGATAGCAAAGGAAGCACAGCTGATGGTCACTGGTCGTGTTCCACAATTGTGGCATAGTGCTCTCTCCAAATTATGGCCAAAGATAAGGGAGTCCGTATAACAGCAGAAGCAGTGCTTTAATAGGCATTATCTGATTTCCGAAAATACTTAAAAGTCCGGAACTCAGACTTCGAAGATGCAGTTAATGTTCCATTTAAAAGGTCGCCAAAACGGACTTGTATGAGAGACTACCTACTACCTGAATTGAACCCTGAAATCTTGCGCAGCTCCAGAAGCCAAGATCGCAGTCGCGCTACGGGCTCAAACTTTCAAATTGCTTTGTGGCGCGCAACAGAGAAAGAATCAATGAGGATATATTGTAACCGGAGATGTGACACTATAGCCCTAATATATAACAATACATTAATATACGCTGATCGCTCAAAAAATTAAACAGTTGAAGGAGTTTTCTCAGGACGATACGATATGTTCTCCCAGTCACAAGCTGTAAGTTAAGGAAGAACTGCAGGTAAACATGACATCATTAGTTCTTAATTCATACTAAAATTTGACATTTCTTTTGTCAAATTAAGCTAAGGTTTCCAGCAGCATGTAAAGTTATTACAGTGGTTAGCGCGTTCGATAATAAGCGGAATTCGCCAGCCGCGATGTTCTACTATTCCGAGAGCCAAAAATTTCTTGTGCATTCTTTAAAATCAACAGTCACCAAATACTTTGAAACTATCTCATATTAAGGCAAGAATAGATACGAGGAAGCGGATGACATACTGGTATACAGCGGGGTAACTGCAGTCGATTATAATGCGATATGTTGTCCAACACAGCAATGTATAAGCGGATACACAAAGGTTGTAATAAGAGAAATGGGGTACGGTGAGCTTATGCATGTGTTATAGGAAGAGCAAGAAAGAGACAGGAGGGGTGAGATAGAACTTCAAATCGAAAAATGAGAATTTTCCATTCCGAAAAAATTACTACTAGACAAGGCTCACTACAATTAACGTGACTAGTAATCAACTGTAGCAGATATTCTTTATGTGCTAGGAATATGAGTCAGTATTGTTCGATTCATGCTTATATGTTAAATATTTCGAGAGACAGTAAATAGACATTTTTTTCTATTCGAAATCAGAATTTTAAACTAATGTAAGTATAGAAGCATACCACCACAGTTGATTCAATAAAAGTAAAAACAATCATGGTCATCGCTCAACATATTGAAACACATAACATTCCCACATCCACAATCTTTTAATCGTCAGTTGTCTCATATCTTTTGCGTTTATATTATTTACAAAAGTTTCGCATGACATCAATCTATAAGATGGCCTATATGGGATGATTTAACTGTTCTGATATATTAAGCAAATAGACGTTACAAGATAGCAGGAGTACGAGTTGCATTACAATCAACAAAAGGTCATGCTAAGCAACTGGGCGGTTGTGGATAGCGTAGAAATCATCTAGAAAAAGCACAACTTTATTTATATGTAAACTTTTAGACGATGATAGCGCAATGTTTCCTTCATGTGGGAGACTGCTTATCAAGCAAAAGCGATCATGAGCTTTCGTAAGATTACAAACTTTTAAGAATTCATTTTAATATGACTGCTGGTTGACCATCAGTGGTAAAGTGCATATATTGCATCGTTCAAAAATGCTTCGGTGAATGCCAGTGGAATTTGTATGAAACTTCATGTCTCTAAATAACCAGACACCATCAAGTTTCCTTCCAGTAACAACTGTTTTTGCGTCAATAATTTCTTTAATAAGCTACAATAACTTAGAAATCTATTTGAGACATTACGGCCGCTCCAGAAATGATGGGGTACATTAATCTGCAATGTCTGTTAAGTTCTTGCAGTGCAAGTTATGTTTCTACTTATCAAGGGAATATATGATACAAGCGTCCATTAAGGCTCAACATTTGCCACTTTCAAATGAACGATAGCCTATTTAAAACAGCACCAAACCTTGCTTACATTTCAGTACGTCCTGACGCTACTTCTTCCAACCACACGTTGTATTATTTTGCTGAGTCAATCTGAACAATTTTCCCTCTGAAGTGGTATTACATTCCAATATGTACAACGGTCCTAACGAGAATTGGCCATTGGCCAAATTTTTTGTACGAATAAAGCTTGGATTTTAGTTGGGTGGATAGCAGTGTGTATTAATGTGGCTTGCTTGTCGTTGCAGGTGTATAGATTTGGTATTCAGGCGTCACACACACAGCCAATGGGCACTTTAGAACGATTAGAAAGATCATGAAATATAGGAGAATAGAGAGTTCGCATTTGTCGAGATCGCCTAGTTCTTCACTGCCGTACAAGCTCTCTCGAATTCCGGATGACAGATCCGAGCAACTTATGAACGGTGAGCTCTTTCGTTTCCTTCATTTTCACTGTTGTTGCTGCTTCATCATCCACTAGAGTTATTCTACTGATAATATGGCGCTTCACTTTTCATAATTTAAGACCGTCTTGTCGTGCGAGGTTTTCTTCTCTATCTCAACCATAGTCATCGTTTTAAAGCAGGTCAGGATCGTCATTAACGTATGAAGTTTTTTGGTAAAGATATATATTGATCGTATAAATCCGTTGTGGGCAGGATCATTATAAACTGTGCTGAACTTCAGGCAGTCGTATTAGCCTACCTCGTTATTTATTGATCACATTTGAGAATTGTTTTAGTTTCCAGATTCTGACTACATGGTTCATTTTTTTTCTTTGTTTACAGGCGCATTATCTCCCTTACATACAAGACGTGGACCTCTGAATGATTTGGTGACGCCAACGCCAGATTTTGCCGAATTTGATTGTGTGCGTGAATGTCCCAAACTGCTAGCCGTAACAAGTGATGGAGACTGCCAGAATGTTGCAGTTGCATTCTCTGACTTGGTCTTTTCTTAACTTTATAAAGTCATTTAGTCCTGCTGTTGCCACTAGGATAAATTTAACATAAAACTTCTGTTTTAGTGTATAACCACAGACGTGGTCCATGCAACGGTAAAAGTACCTAAATTTTTCATACCGCTGGTTACAGCTAATTTCAGGACAAATTACAAATAGAGTTGGAGCAAATACTGGTGCACACGACTGATCATCAAAAAAAAATTTATGGAGAGATTACTTTCTTGACTACTGGCGATTACCCTTCTGATGATATCTCCATCAGGCTCATGCCTGTATATGAGCTTAAAACTTCGGAACCTCTACCCAGCTGCAGTAAAGAAATTGAGAGAGAACCGTGAGTTAGTTTTTGAGGTGATTTGCTTAACAGTAACTCAGATTTTTCAAAAAATTTTTCCTTTTATTACTTTTAACAAAGATATCTGTTATTGCATGACTATGTCAATTTTTTTCTCTATTCAGAATAGTGGAAGATTCGTGTATGGATGGTGAAATAAATTGGCTGGATGAAGGTTTTGATGTTTGGCCACCAGTCAATTTGTCCCAAAAATTCTGGGTTTTCGCTCGCGAATATCTTGATCCCGTAGATGAAGAATACTTGCATCAGTGGTGGTTAAGTATTGTTCAGCTTTTTAAGAATGATAGTGTCTCGAAGTTGCAGTCTGGTTTATGTCCAGGTAATTGGGCTTGTGTCTTTATTTCAGGATGACTATAAAAACAGTGTTTAACTACGTTGTCCTTCCATAGATATATTGGAATTTTGGATATCAAAGGTGCCAAGGTAATGTTGCATTAAGGAAGCGTAGTTGCAAAGATATTTTTGGATCTGAAACAATAGGGAATTCTACACTTGAGATTCTTGAGAATTTTCGCTTACTGTTTGCTATTACAATATTTGCTAGAAAGAGCGAATGTATAGCTGCAGAAATGGAAAAATGAGTCACTGGTAAGCCGAGTGATGAAAGTTTGTGGATCAGATGAATATTGTTCAGCCTGTCATTGTCAAGTATTTCGGAAATTTTAAAAGTAAATATAACTTTACTTTTTATTACAGTGACAGCAAAGAAAAGTAATTGTTGTGACGCCGTACTGCACGATGGTAAAGCCAGCTCTCTACCTTCTTTTTCGAAATGGTGTGCTCCCGCATCACTTCACTGGAATAAGTAATGATGCTTAGCTTTTTAGATTCTGAGACATTGAATTCATTACCATATTTGGTTTTGAATTTCGAAGAAATATATACATTTTTGAGTTGCAGTTACAATGGATTTAAGTAGTTTTATGTTTCTACTCATACTTACTTCCAGGTCTTTCATAGTGAGTAAAAATATCGCCTCACCCGCAAGGTTAAAACTGTTTAACAGTGACTCATCGCCACCGCCGAATAAAATAGCACGGTAATTGATATAAACAGATTTCTTGGAAGAGGAAATTTTGATCAGTCTTGTTTGTTCATTATTACAATATTCCTTTAGATTTGAAAAAAAACCGTCGTCACAATCACCAAGGAAAACTACATCATTGCTCAATGATCTCATCAGCGCGTATGTCAGTGAGAGAATTGGTAACTTAGGTAATCATTACAATGGTGTGCTTCCGAAATTGGATAAAAAAAGCTGCCCTCCTAGTAAGACCTATGTTTATATTTTGGGAAAACTACTGTAATGTAAGATTAATGCATTAAAGATGGTAGTACAAGGAAGATCTTATTTGGATTTTAATCAGTCATATTTGTTCAAGTACTTCCCATTTATTTTTAGAAGAGTTTCACATTTTAGAGAAAGATTCGTTCTCACTGGTTCAGCTTGAAACTAACGACTGGTTAATCAAAAATGAAGGAGCTGAAAGGGAGGATGCATTTCCAGTCGCTCATCTTAATGGCCTAAATTATGGAGGAAATGTTGCAGCCAATTGTGGAGACACATTAGAAATGCTAAATTGTGCTTTAGCCGATTACCTCCGTAGATTTGGTAATAAACTGTCTATCAGTTTTTCTAGAGATTCAAATAGGGCATTTCTTTTATATAATTTAGTAAATTTAATGAATAAGCTCTTAAACTTTCAGATGAAGAGCCTGATGTAAACAAATGCAGCAAAGTTATCCAAGAAATCGGACCAGAAGGTGTGGAAGAGTTAGTTAGGAAATCTCCATCCGGCAAAAAAGATTACAGTGAGGTTAGCAGCTTCATTTTATGACGAGATACTTGATTGGTTAAGATATTTTATTTATTAGATTTTGTTTTGTGGATTTTGATCATCATATTTTCTAATACAGGATGAAGTATCTGCAGCCTTAAAGAAATTGCAAACGGAGCTTACTGAAAAAGAGATATCGTGGCGTAATGTGGTTGCTAAAATTTGGCATCGTTTACTCGCGGAGTATTTGCGCATGAAGTTAGAGCAAGCACTTGACAAAGCAGATCAGGACGTTAGCTTTTCCATCTTGTAAAGGCTTTAATTTTATCTAGTCTTTTAAATAGTTTTGGTTGCTGTAGCATCTGATTATCAATTACTTTAATTATTCTTTGTTGTTTAGTTCTCATCTTTTAGTATTTTTTCAAAGCGTCCTAAGTACTTGACATATGTAACGAATTTTCTAGATGTTTGAAATATATGACAAATATTATTCCGAATTTCCAAGACGACGACCAATGAATGAACAGGAAAGGGAGGAATGTCGATGTGTTTTTCAACGAAGGAATGCTGTAGCCCAGGCGTATTACGGCAAAAAATATTCTTTAAACAAATGGAGTAAGCATTAGGATTTAATTAGAATTTTCAGCAGAAAATAACACCAATTTAACTAGTGTCATACTGTACCGTGTCTTCATTAATTTCGGTTTTATTGTACCCTCAAGCCACAGCTTCCCAAACTCTGCTTTTTTCTTTGGTTTTTGTCACTATTGAAACTGCCACTTGACAAGGTAAATGTGCTGTGGTTTCTGTACTTCAGTACACATTGTAGGTAAGTTTTATTTATTATGGTGCATGCGTAATTTATCAGTGGTATCAAATACATACGATAATATGTTTGAAATGCGAAGTTTTGTCCCTTATTGCAGTTAGTTGCGATGCATGTCCCAATCTTGTGAAGAAATTTTCGTCCCTTTAGATGTGGTTAGAGCAAATGAAGTAATAATTCCTCTTTCTTCCTTGTTTGTACGTAGTCCTTCCGTTAGCTATTTTATCTGTAGTTAGGTGATTGCCCTTGATTTATTTTATAACATTTTTCATCCTTTTTTTTTTTTGGATTATTTATGAAAAATTTCTTAAACTTTTGTGTAGTAAATAAACGAAATTTTCAGATAAGATAGGTTGTGTCAAGGATCTGAAATTCGACATATGTCCGAAAAACAAGGGTCTGGATAGAAATAACGATTATAAAATATGTCTTATAAATAATGTCGAGTTCTGCAGTGAGTATGAAATTGGAAGTTAGAGGAAATTTCTGTTCAGGCTTTCTCCTGTGAAATTTGAAAAGTGTTGAGCTAGGGTTAATTAGTGCTCTGTCGTAGATCAATTGGCAATCTAGTGAGAACCGTATATTTCCGTGGGCATGTTCAATGCTTGGAATAATTCGAAATTAAGCACATTATCCATAAAAACTTGTGAGAGACTCCAGAAAATACATATTAATCGCTATAATTTGTTAGTATCATGGTTTCAGAAAATAGATCTTGAATCGAGTAGTAATAAAAATTAAGATTGAAATTATATTCAAATTGCATGTTCATGGTGCTTGCTGATGCGATTAACACTGTAAAGAAATTGGTTCATCTCATGAACTTTCTGAAACTTGATCAATAATTTTTTAACTGATTTCTACTACCTCGACATGCTATTCATGATGAATGCATTTTTGTGCAAGGCTTAAGAGTTCTTTTTTTTTTTTTTTGGTATTATGCAAAAACTTGTGGAGGCATGGATGTGAGTAGGTGAATTTCGATGTAGCTTTCTAGTTTGAGGAGTAAGGAGAGCACAACATCAGAAGAGTTAGGCGCAAAGGTTGTATTGCAAATGTTGTATTTCAAAAGTTCTATTGAAAGTTTGTATTGCAAATGTATCTCTATCCAGGATTGTAAATTATGCATTATTGTTTTGCCCAGTTAAGTGCTCGGTGCGAGCTTTGTAGTTATATTTATCACGTTTTCTTGAATATGATGATTTACTGTTTTGCCGTTTCATTGTGATATGGTTTTTGACAAATTTTGCACTTAATAATTTTTAGACTTTAAATTGTACAGTCCATTCTAAGAAATTGTACCTTAATGAATTTCTGGAATGCATTCAGATAACATTGATTCTAGTGTAAAGTTTTTATAATATGAATTTCATTAGAAGTCTTACTTTATTCACTGTAAAAGTTGCTGTCAATGTAGCAGGAGCTGATCCATTTTATATTGCTTTGGCGCAATAGTTCGAAAGGCGCTTGGGTTCACATACGCAATATTGATTTATGAGTGAAGTAGTTCTAGCACCTTAGCGGTAATCTTGTCCAAAACGTTAAAAATTTTTAACGGGTTCATAATTTGTTTTCAACTGGAAAAGACTGTACGTGATCTCAGGGTAGTGAACTACCATTTTTCATGCCTGTCATTATTAGATTTAATCTTACTCCATGATTTTTGTTTTCAGGATAGGCTTGAAGTAGCTGATTCAATGTAGAAATATTAAATATAGGAATGTATTAGATTTGTCTGATAGAAATAAACTGATGTTAACAACTCAATAGAATTATCAAGGAATAAAAGGGGGAAAGAGAGATTACTCGTTAATCTAGAGCACCTGAATTGCTGTCTTTAACTACTAATTCAAACATATCCATGATAAATGATTTTTCCTCTGGCAATCTTTGTCTTCCCCTTCAGATACATTTCGAGTAGTCCTTCACTGAATCAAATTAAAGAAGAAAGTTCGTTATACTGCTGGGCACATCTTACGTACTTAATCCTTGTTACTTCAGCACTAGTAGAATGGAAAAACAGTCGAAATAAAAAGTGGTAGTGACAGTTTTGAAAGTAACATATGAAGAAACCTGAGTCAAATTTGAAAAAATTTGAAGAGTTATTTAAGGGCCTGAAAATTACTAACTGACTATGATCGTAAACATTTGTTGATAAAAACCACGATGATCATAAAACATGATGTATGAATGATAACTATTCGCATCATTAACAAAGAGTAATGCGCGTTCCTTACTAAATGAAATTATAGTAATATACTCACAAAATTCTCTCGAAATATGGATTAATGATTAAAACGGTTCAATAAAATATATGAAAAAGGAATAGCAATGTCAAAAACCAAAATATTTGTTCCAAAAAGAAACGGCTGATATACGCATGGAAATTCGATTTTTTTTTTCTACAGTCACAATTCACTATGAATTTTGCGACCTTCATGACTTTAGTTCTTGAAGACCTAGCAAACCTTTGAAGTTATTAAAATTAATGGGTGTGGTTTATTTAGATTTTGAATTCAACTGTTCTGATCAATTTTTTTTTTTTTTTTGCAAACGATTCGACGAGACTAGAAGGTTGATACCACACTTCAGCATGGTACTCCAGAATGGTTTATACTATGCTTTGCAGAAGAGGCAAGTTTTCACATTCGTTCCGTCCTTATGAGATTGGTATCATATTTTCAATTAGTTTCAGGAAATCCGCAATATTTTGAAAACAGAATTTTTCAGAGCTGGCACGGCTTGATGGAAATGAAGAAAAATGCTTAATCTTATTGGTGGAATGGAATCTACACACTAGTGGACGATTTTTGTTTCTTGAAAATGGTAAAAAAGTGCAGCTTAATTTTTATTCATGGAGTTATGTAGAGGCGAGCGTTATTTGAATCTATCTAGGGGATCGCAAATCATCTGACGTCCATTTTAACAAAACATTTTGCCTCCACGTGCTCTTTTTTTTTCCAAGTTTTATCACTTGTTTTGTGCTCTTCCAGATTATTTAAAATGCAGTTTTATGATAAAACAGCCGAAACCTCAATACCGTTATGATTGGTATTTCCCTACAAATCAAACAAGGATGAGATTACCAAAAAATTTACTATCCGTCTTTAATAAACTAATAATGTTTGAAACAATGAAGGGAATTCTGAATTCTACACTTTTGTCTGCTTATGACATGCGTTTAATAAGTGATATCAACTAGCTTTCACTGGAAACTGCTGTAGTTTCAACGTGCTTGAGAAAGTTACTGCATCCGGTAAACAGTTGAAACAAAGAACGGAACAGTTCCGTTAATCTGATATTCACTCTAAGTTGTCTGCCGTGATTAACTTATTCAATTTAGATCTGAAGTGATTTAAAAATCAGTTCTTCAAAAAATGGGAGTCATACAAGCACTGCAGTTTTCTGACATACATGAAAATCCTTGTATTATTTAACAGCTTTAAAACCGCGGCTTGTCAACTCATCACTCAGATCTAATTATTACCGAGGTTAATATTACCTTGTTTAGCTGTTCTCCTCTGCAGTATTGTAAATCATGAGTCTTGTTATGAGTTAATGCTTCCTATATAAGGAGCCTTCTAGATAACAATCTGATATTCACTGCCATCCTGCAACTATATCCTCAAGTTTACTAATATTGTTCAATAACTACGATCAACGATAATCTTTATCTCAATAAAATAAAGATTAATCAAATGTTGTTGTCGCCACAGTGGCGAAGCTATAACGTAGTGAACAAAGGCTATTGTTTTAAGTGATTTTAATCTACTTTGTAATCTTAACACCCATAAAATCCCTCCCAATTTTCTTCCTTGCAAAGCCATTCATTATAGTTCCTTGTTTGGTAGGGCTCGGTTGCGAGGTGTCTAGTTTGCTTGTATCTTTAAATGTTTTATAATTAAGTTACATTTGTGTGTTATGTATCAATTCATTATTGTAATGTCGTATAGTTTTTAATGTTAACCTGTGGTTTAATTACCCAAGTTTGAGGCTTGAATAGTAAAGTATTTCACGAAGACTCCCACAGTACATGTACACAGACCGGAACCAGTACAAATTCGAGATTCTACCAGTATCGAGGACAAAGAAGTCAACGATCTGAACCATCAAGAAAGGAACCTACTTTGTTTCACAAGGAAACAGGGCAGTAAGAAAGAAATTCTAAATTCGCTTTTACAGTCGTTTTCTCTGCAAAACAACAGTATTTGGCTCTTCAATCTACTCGAATCAGACCACATTCCACGGCAACAATGATTTGATGCCGGAGGTGAGGTTAAATAAAGGAAGAACTGTTAACATTGTTAAATTCTAATATAATTTACAGTTAGTAAGGAACGACAAACAACAAAAAAATAATTGGGGACAAATTCCAAAACGTATTCTGTGTTAACAATATAAATAAGTAGCAGTGCAAATATGCTCAGATACATGGAAGATGATTATTAAATGAATGATTTATTACGTGACATTGCAACTTTGTCCAAGGAATATTAAACAATCTATGGATTTAATATAATTTTAATTCTACATATTATAAATCGGTTTTTTCCGACATTCCTGTCGAAAGATGAAACCTTCAGAAGGATGAATGGTCTTATCGGTTTGAACTTGTCGTTTTGCACCATTTCTAATCTGTAGATCAAAAGGTTTTTCACGTCCATTAACTTTACGAATTGGTTTGCCGGACTTCGATGGTTAAATTGTTGAATTTGCTTCATCATAGACTTCCAAGGAGTAAAATATGTGTACTGGTCGTTTATCATGTGTTAATTCTATTGAGGAATTTTTTACTTCTTTATTTCTTCTTTCTTTAGTTTCTTTTATCCTGGCTAATTTCCATACACCGTGAGGAACTTTTCATTTGTTAACCAATACATATTCTTTCTCATGAAGTGTTCTTGTTACTACATTTTTTAGGAAGAGTGTTCTCTTTTAGTTCGTTCTCGAAGACTGGTCAAATACTCTTTTCTGCGTTTGTCCCAAAATGTATCCAATTTCCTTGGTACCTAATTTGTGAGAGGAAAATTCTTCCTGATCGCTGTCGTTAACAATTGAAATAACGAAGGAAGCAATAGGCAAGATAAAATCAATCGGACATATGATTACGTTATCTTCAAAGTTTATGTTAGTGGCCGAGTATTTAATATACCTTCGACTTCTACCATTTTTTATTCTCTTCCCCTTAATAACTTCCCACCAATGGCTCTTCTCATGGCCTATTTGCTTACTCCAATTGTTCACTCATAAATTCCACTACTTGATAGGTTTTTTGTATGATACTCTTCCAGATTATTCCTTTATTTGCTAGGAAAAATGCATATTTCGGTCCATAATGGTCTAAAAACTAATTGGAACTGGCTATCATTATCACTTAAGACTAATTTAGAATAACCTCGTCGGGTTTAAGAAGGTTCTACCAGTTCTGCTCTTGTTGTGAAACATATAAAGAAAGCTACCCATCTTTTATGCCTGTT